TAATTTGTCTCCGATCTCATCTTCCTGTCACGTGAAGTCAAATTGTCTGTGACTAGTAAACAGAAAAAAGCAGTTGCTGCTGCAGACACGACTGAGGAAGAGACAGAGAGGACGTGTCACTTCACACAGGTGAGTTGCAAAAGCTTTTCTTGCTCTGTGAGGGGTTTCTGGGAAGTAAGTGTGCTGACATCAGTATAAATCACAGACTCTCTGGGGAGGGCCTTGAGATGTTGTCAAAATCATCCTCTGGTCTCTATTATGTAACGAAGAGGTTAAACGCATGGCAGCATAGTGAAGGGGCTGAAACAAGCGCCAAATTGTGAGATAGAAACAGGAAAGATATAAAAATAAAGACATTCTTTAAAATCAACTGCAAAACACCTTTTCTTTGAACTTCAAGAGTTGCAAAGAGGAGGGCAGTGCAATAGTGCAGCGCATTGAGTGCTTACCTTGCACATGGGGGACCTGGGTTAGATCCCTGGCATCCCATGGTCTCCTGAGCCCACCAGAAGTAATTCCTGAGCACAGAGCTAGTAGTAACCCCTAAGCATTGCCAGATGTGACCCCCTCCCCAAAGAAAAGAGAACTGCAAGGAAGGGTCATGACCAGATGGAGCAAGTTTAGGTTCACCATATTGACCTTGTCATATTGAAAAGGTCATGGACAAAAAAGACGTGTGAAGACTCGGGGACAGTTTCATATTCAACCACAAGAGATTCTGCTAGTGATATCTGCTTACCGCAATGACTGTAACTTTTCACTGTTGATTTGTAATTAACATTAAAAAATTATCCATGTTTAAAACACAGATTATGAACGTCGGTAAATTCACACTGTTGTATAACCTTTTAATTGATGGTTCTAAATCCGTCACATGAATATCTGTTTCCCAAAGCTGCCCAAACACTCTATCAGGACAGCAGAGACAGATATCTGCTCTCCGACACTGGGGAATGGAGACCCAAATCAAGGGCTGTGCAGAGCCAGGCTCCTTCTGAGGATTCTGGGAGATCATGCTCCAGCCTCTTTCCTATCTTTGCTTATCATCCCGTCCTGTAGACACATTGCCCCGTCCTGTGACAATGCTTCTATCATCACATACATTCTCCTCCTTAGGACGCCATGAATATTAGATTAAGGGTCGATCTGCCCTCATTATGACCAATTACATCTGCAATGTATACTTTTATTAGTTGGGGGAAAAACAGCTCAACCCATAATAGTATGGATGTATCAGAACTTGTATATTCATTCACTGGTTTTCTAATGTTTGGTCATTACTACTGTGGACTGCTAATAAATGTTAGAATAAACAATTATCAACGCAGATGTCTAGTTTTATTTTTAAGTAAATACATAGAAGTTGGTTAGCTGGTTTGCATGCTGAACTCTATGCCATACTGTGTTTTTCCTGAACTGTAATGCCTTACAAATCTTTGTTTATATCTAATAGAGCCAAGACTTCATTTGAAATTGTCATTTTTCCCACTTTTATTAACTAACTTGTCAGTGTTTTACAATGTGTGTTATCGGTGTTTTTTAAACTAGTCTTGCTAATTTGGATGTAGTGTTATCTTTTGTGAATTTAATGCAACTTCCCCCCCAAATTAGTCAAGTTCAGCTTCTTTTTTATATATTTATTTTCTGTTTTCTGAGTTTCTGTTAGATTATTGTCACTGTCACTGCCCTCCCGTTGTTCATCGATTTGCTCGAGCGGGCCCAGTAACGTCTCCATTTTGAGACTTGTTGTTACTGTGTTTGGCATATTGAATAGGTCATGGGTAGCTTGCCAGGCTTTGTCGTGCGGGCAAGATACTCTCGGTAGCTTGTATAAATATAGTATAAGTATAGTATAAATCTGTTAGATTAATATCATATAATTTCTTCCTTAAATATTTAGTGAAATACATCAATTAATTCACTTTCCCTGAGTCTTTCATTGAGGGAATGTTTTCTATTATGAACCTGGAAGTTTTTTTAATGAATATAAGTATTTTTAAGTGTATTCAAATATTTCTATTTGAGAGGCATAAATAGTGGGACCTAGCAGATCCCACTCAAAACTTGACTCAGGGTTTGTCCAGTAAACAACAACAAATGCAACAACAATAATCACAAAGTACTCTCAGAAATCACAGGCTTAACTATACTAGCAAGACTATTGGATATTTCACGTCTTTTGTCTAAGTGTAATGGCTTATTGATTTTATATTAGAAAAACAATTAAACATAGAACACATTATAAACTCTAAAACACCGTTTTAAGTGAATTTATAGGTTCTGGGGCGGGGGGGGAACACTGGACTTGTGGTCTCTTATGGACAGTTTGAGTTTGCAGTGTAAGTTGCTCTGAACTGTATGAATATTGAAGTGTAGCTAGTCTCTTAGTGTCTTCTACATACTTTCAAATTTTAATTTGTTAACAAAGAAATCCCAGAGCCGAAGAAATACTCAATGGAATTGAGCAGGTGCTTTATGTTCAAAAAAACCCTGAGTTTTTGTTTTCTCATACCACATGGTCCCCTGAGCATTACCAAGAAATTGCCTATAGTAAATACTAACACATTGATTCTTTCTTAAATAAAATTATATAGAAATGAGGAATCCCCACTTTAACCAAGATAAGATCTCTCCATTATAAACCATTAGTAGTCTTCTGTTGTATACCCACTGCCAACATCCATGGAAAGGATATTCTCTCCTTCTTAGGTAAAGGATTTTCCCTTTAATCCTTATTAAAGTCTTCTTTGCAAAATGGTATAGGATCTTAACAGAACCAAAGTGTAGACTGAAATTGCAAGACATCACCATGTGGAATATCCTGTTAGCACCTTCTAGCTTTATATAATAATGACAAACTTACATTAATTACGTAGTTCTAATGGTTTTTCTCACAGAAATGTGGGAATGGGACTGATAGAAATCTGGGACTCAAAGGCCCTCCTGTTGATCATCGATTTGCTCAAGCGGGCCCAGTAACATCTCCATTGGAGATTTTGTTGTTACTGTGTTTGGCATATGGAATACATCACGGGTGGCTTGCGGTGTGGGCGAGATACTCTCAGTAGCTTGCTGGGCTCTCCGAGAGGGGCGGAGGAATCGAACTCGGGTCGGCCATGTTGGCTGCGTGCAAGGCAAATGCCCTACCGCTGTGCTATAGCACATATACTAAAAATGAATATAAGTATTTTTAAATTTCCCGGTTATTCTTGGGTTAGTTGTTTTTTTAAGGAATATGTTTATATGTTTATATTCAACTTAGCTGGCATAAAGTTTTAAGTTAAAATCTATAATTTGCCTTTAATGATCGTAATAGTGTAGTGATGTTCCTTCTCCCATCTTGGATATTGGTAATTTATATACTTTTGCCATTTTTTTAAATTCATGCAGGTAGAATCTTGTTGGTTTTGTTACTTATTTTCCAGGAAGCTAATTTTGTTTTCATCTGTTTTCTTTATTGTATTTGTTTCAATGATGCCTTCCTTGTTTCATTCCTTCTTTTGGGGGGAGGGTGGAAAGGATGGGAGACACACACATTCTCTGAAGCAGCTCTCAGGGAACCGAGGGCATCACCAGGCTCATTCCAGAGGGCCAGAGTGTCTCCAGGGCTGTATCTGGTGATCAGGGACCAAACCAGGGTTTCGTACATGCACGCCAATCCACGTGCTAGCTCCCAGTCCCCAATGTTATTTTCTTAATCCTGTTTACTCTATGTTCAATTTTATGTTCCTTTTTCAATTTTTATATTCATTTTCATTTACAGTCCTGGAGGTTGATAACAATGACCTAACATATACAAGACAAGTACTTTTTTGTGTTTTTTTTTTCTTAATTTATATTAGTGAAACACCATGAGGTACAGTTGTAGACTTACAAATTTTTGTGCTTGGGTTTCAGTTATACAATGATTGAGTACCCATCCCCCCACCAGTGCCCATTCCCCACCTCCAATGCTCCCAACATCCCTCCCACCTCCACAGCCCCCCATCCCACCCTACCCCTCTGACAGGGCATTCCCTTTTGCTTTCTCTCTCCTTTTGGGTGCTGTGGTTTGCAGAAGAGGCATTGAATGGCAATCATATTCAGTCTATAGTTTACTCTCAGCACACATCCCCCATCCTGGGAGGATCCTCCCAACACCCTTTATTTGGTGCTCCCTTCTCTATCTGAGCTGCCTTTTCCCCTAGCATGTGCGGCTGGCCTCCAAGCCATGGAGTGAAGCTCCTGGTACTTATCTCAACTATTCTTGGATGTTAGTCAAGACAAGTACTTTACCGCATTCCAAGCCTAGTTTTCCATTTTTTTTACACATTATTCATCATTTATAAATATTTGGAGATAGATGATAATAATACTTAGAGAGGTAGATAGATTTTTTTTAAGCACCGTGATTTACAAAGTTATTCATAGTTGAGTTTTAGACACACAATATCGCAGCACCAATCCCACCACCCGTGTCAACGTCCCTCCACCAGTGTTCCCAGGCTCCCTCCCACGCCTAACAGGCACCTTACTAAATTCGTTTGTTAAAGTTTGGGTCTCTTCACTTCAGTGCTGCTGACCGTGTGGCTTGGATATTTGGCTCTATTGTTCCTCAACACCCCCTTCATGCCTGACTCCCTCAACTCAGCCCCCTGCTGCATCTCATCTGTCTCAGTAATGGCTGTAGTATCGGAATGATGTATGTACAAAAACGTATGAGTCACAGTATGTAAATCCCAGTAGCTCAACAAAAATGGTTATATAAAAGGGAAAAAATGCCAGTTGTGTCCTGCTTATCCCTGGGCACCCCCAACACTGCATATTGAGGCCGGAGGTGTGAAATATACATCCCAGTTTTCTCAATAATGGCACCTGGGCCCCCTGAGCGCTGCTTGAGAGACTGAAAGAAGAACTACGCCAGTTTTGAGTCAGGCCACTCTTCATATGCTGCGTAGCCCAGCAGCTGACAGGGACCTCAAGTTTGCTAAATGATTGAATCAGCGCCAGGCCTCTTCCTGAGCAGCGACCGACAGTTCCTCCCCTCACTTCCTCTCTCCTCCACTTCCTTCTCAATACCCTGACTTTAGAATTCAAGAAGGGAGCTGGACCCAGATATTCCAGGTAAGGGTTATGTGTTATTTGTGAGTTGGAAACGAGGGTGCCTGCATGTAATTGATGAAGGAGGGACTGCTCCCGAGTCTATCTAAAACTGGGGGGAAAAATTTATTCTCAAAATGTATCTCTCATTGTTTCTTGTTTCCTGTTTGTGCTGATTTCGGACTGTGAACTATTTTCAAAACTGTTCATTACAAACAAATGCCTCCTTCAGGAATAACCTCTCAAAGGATATTTATTCAAATAAATTATTTCTTTCGCCTCTTGGGGAGTTCCAATTAAATGTGAATCTTCCAGGGCCAGTCGTGAGCTAACAGAATGAATTGTGTTGGGAGCTGGTGGGGAGTTTACTCTACGGAATCCGAGACACACAACGGGGCATGTCCCAAGTCACACAAAGGTCAGGAGAGGGAACCTTTGGGAGGCAAGAAGAGTGAAATTCCTCCCAGTGGGACTCTGAGGTTCAGGGGAAACTGGGAGCCAACGGGTGCTTATTCTTAAGATTGCAGAAAGGGAGCTTAGACATGCGAACATCCCTAGAAGTGCAGTCCTTAGTTTCTCCTCTGGGTCAGGGTAAATGGTCCAGAGGTAAAACCGCTGACCAGAGAGTCCACTGGGAGGAGGAGAGGGTGTCAGTTTGAGAGTGGGATCAGCATAGAGCTAGTGTTTTAGACATAGCCATATTGTTTTCCAAAAGGGCTGGACCAATCAACATTCCCACCTGCGGTTCCTCTTTCCCCACATCCCTGCCAACACTGATTGTGTGTTTTTTGGGTTTTGGGGTTTTTTTGTTTTGTTTTGTTTTGTTTTGTTCTGTTTTGCTTTTTGGGTCACACCCAGCAATGCACAGGGTTTACTCCTGGCTCTGCACTCAGGAATTACTCCTGGCAGTGCTGGGGGGACCATATGGGATGCTGGGAATACGAACCTGGGTAGGCCACGTACAAGGCAAACGCCCTACCCGCTGTGCTATTGCTCCAGCCTCCACTGGTTGCTTTTAATCTGTGTTGTGTACCAGTCTCACTGGTATGAGGTGGCATGTTATTGTTTTGATTTGCATTTCCCTGAAGATATATGATGCATCATAATTTTTATATACATTTTAGCCATGTATATCTCTTCTTTGAGGAAGATTTTGCTCATCTCTTCCCCCTCCCCCCCATTTTCTGATGGGGCAGCCCTCTCTTAATACCAATCACTGCACAGCTGGTAAGGTGTTTGCCTGGCACGCGGCCAACATGGCCAACCCGGGTTCGATTCCTCCACCCCTCTCGGAGAGTCTGGCAAGCTACTGAGAATATCTCACCCACACAGCAAAGCCTGGCAAGCTACCCGTGACGTATTCAATATGCCAAAAACAGTAACAACAAGTCTCAGTTTGTTGTGGGATGTTACTGGTGCCCACTCAAGCAGATCGATGAACAATGAGAGGACAGTGCTACAGTGCTACCATTATCACTGAACCTAAACTGATTCATAAAAATTCTTGATGTTTTTTCTTCCCAGTTAACAAAACTCTGTTTCCTACTACCTACGCTTAAAAGATGAATAAATAACTTCCCTTTCAAAGAATCGCCCCTCTTTCTCAGTGCTGAAGATTTGTACTTGGTGGTTTTCTATTGAGTTTTTCCTATGCAATCAGCATCTTCAGTCTGTTCTGGAAAAGTTTCTGCATGTAAGAGGTCTTAAACTATCAAAACCTTTGTAGAAACATTAAAACATACTACCAAGTTTTTATAACATGTATTATTTAACAAGAAAGATTATTTCACAGATGAGAGCAGGATAGAAAGATCAGTCTGAGAGGAAGCAAAAATCAAGATTTTTTTTTTCAGTCACTGTCATTGTCACTGTCACTGTCCTCCCATTGTTCATCGATTTGCTTGAGTGGGCCCAGTAACATTGTGAGACTTATTACTGTATTTGGCATATTGAATACATCACGGGTAGCTTGCCAGGCTTTGCTATGTGGGCGAGATACTCTGGTAGCTTGCCGGGCTCTCCAAGAGGGGCAGAGGAATTGAACTTGAGTCGGCCAGTGAGCCGCGTACAAGGCAAATGTCCTACCCACTGTGCTATTGCTCCAGCCCCCCCCCCTTTTTTTTTTAGTCAACTTGTTTATTTAGAAATCACTTGTGCTGCTCAGATAAAGAAGGGAACACCAAGTAAAGGGTGTTTGGAGGACTCACTTGGGATGCGAAACGCATGCTGAAAGTAGACTATAGACCGAACACGATGGCCACTCAATACCTCTATTGCAAACCACAACACCCTAAAGGAAAGAGAGAACAAAAGGGAATGCCCTGTTATAGAGGTGGGGCGGGGTGGGGAAAATGGGGGTGAGCGGGAGGGCTATGGGGTTCATTGGTGATGAAGAATGGGCCCTGGTGGAGGGATGGGTACTTGATCATTGTATAACTGAAACCCAAGCACGAAAGTTCGTAAGTCTACAACTGTACCTCATGGTGTTTCACTAATTAAAAAAAAAAACTTAAAATTAGAAAGAAAAAAAAGAAATCACTTGCACATCTCTTTGTCCAGTACTGTGATTGTATAAAAATAAAAATACGAGGCACAGATGGTCCTACCATCATAAGATCTCAAAGTCTTCTGGAGGCACCAGTGAAATATCAGATCACACCTGATGTAAAATGGTTTCTATGAGAAACCCCGGGAGAGTTATTAGGGCAAACAGCAAGTGGAGCATCAACGCTAATGTTGGTCGAGGTGGTGGTACTGGGGATCATCTGGAGAAAGTCTCTCAGGAGCAGTGAGAGTCAGAGCCCTGAGACCCAAACTTCTCAGGAGCAGGGACAGAGCGGGCTGTGGCATAGACTGGGAGTGCTCTAGGGAGAGGAAAGAGTGCTACAAAGTCCAGATAGCAGGAAGAGCAAGGAGCTTTCACACAACATTGGGGAACCCTTTTGGATAGAGAGAAACTGCTCAAGCATCATCTTATGAACCATCTCATTGATGTTTATCACTTTATGGAAAGAAAAAACTATTGGGAAGCTTCAGTTAGAAAAAAATCAAAGTTTTGTTGTTTTTTTTAAATTTTTTTGTTAAGTCACCATGATTTATAAAATTATTTATAGTTAAGTTTGAGGCATACAATATTCCAACACCAAACCTATCACCAGTGTCTACTTCCCCCAGCAATTTTCCCAATTTCTTCAAAGCATCTGATTCTGGGCCAGGGAGAGTACAACCTTGCACATAACAGAGCTGGATTTCATAGTTGGCATCATATATGGTCCCCTCATCAGCCCCCAGGAGTGATCCCTGCACACAGAGTGAGGAGTAAGCCCTGAGCACCACTGGGTAGGGTTCCAAATCAAGAACAGAACAAAGCATTTGATTATAGGAGAGAAAGAGAGACTTAAACTGAAGTAATTAGGGATCTGTTTTCATTTCATGTAACAATATTAAAATTAAAAAGAATATGTAATTCTGTGAACTTTGTAGAGTCAGTCAAAAGAATTTGGAGATGAACAATGAGAAAATGAGGAAAGAACTGGGGATGACCCAAGATTTCCCAGGAGGCACTAGCCCTGATGAGACCATTCACTGAAATGAGATGATGGATCAGTGCAGGTGGGGCTGCAGATCAAGGAGTGCAGTTTTGCTGAATTCTATTGGAAATTCCCATGACATTTCCAAGTGGAAAAAAAAAGATATACGGGGTACAAATAGTTGGGGTTTCAAGTGTCTAGGATAGCGTCTTTACTCCATTGACTAGAACGGGGTGAAGATTCAGAATTTAGAGTCAAGGAAGCACTTGTAGAACTTCTTTGTGCAAAGAAAATGGAACGGTCTGAAACTGAGGCAGAAAACAGGAATCGGAAGAGTGTCAGAAAGGAGATGTGAAAATTGAAACAGAAAGAGTGTCAGAAAGGAGATGTGAAAATTGAAACAGAAAGTTTATGGGAAAAGAACTTACTGAGTGGGGAAGTGTTCAGTTATGTCCACTAATCTAAAATGACCTGATTATATCTCCATATCTACAGGAATTCTGACCACCATGGAAGCACAGTACCTCTGCAATCCCTGGACCACCCACGGTAAGAGGGACAACGGGGTCCCCAGATCAGGACTGACATGAAGAGATGACAGAGACCTGTTTCTCCAGCCAGTCACCACCTGAGCAAAAGCGAAGTATTTCCTACCCAATCTATTTCTTTCTTCATGGGCTCTGCTTTCCCATTTCTCTGACCCTTTATGTTTTCTCCTCCTTCTGCTCATTTCTGCCAGGAAGAGCAGTTCCAATACTCAGACTGATCCTGGAGGAAATAAATGTCTTGTTTCCTGTTTTCTCTGCTGTGTAGTCACCAGAACAATCAGTCTTGTTGTCTGTTCTTCTTCCAGTCGGGAGGACTACCTGGGAATCATGGATTCCTCATGCAAGTCCCTTGTTTCCATGCTCCTGGAAACTTCACTATAACCAACCAATCCAACTGACTGACGAAATCTATATATCCATAGACATATGCCCCTATCCACAGGCTTTCATTATATCACTTCAGCCACCCCGTGGTGTAGAGCTTAAACATCAAGGATTCCGTTGTCTCTCAATTTTTGATGTGGGTTCAGACCCATGTGTCTAATCTCAGTATCACCCATTCATCTGTAGCTAACTTATGTTTCAGTCTGAACAAACCTGGATGACTCACAGTGTTCTTGGTAGTCAGCAGGCTCCTGAGCAGCCCAGGGGGCAGGTATGGCTGGGCCTTGTATCCCTCATCCTCCAGTAGATCAGTTCAGATCTCATCAAAGGGCAGTTGAGAGTTCTGGAGAGCGGGTACAGGCAAGGCACCGAATATAAGCAGTTCTGGAGTCTCAGCCTCTTTAGTTTCGCAATCAGCCGGCCTACCAGATTCATGGGTTGGAGAAATAGACTCAGAATCTTGAGGGAAGGAGCTACAAGTCCACTGTGAAGATTGGGATCATCTTCATCCTGTGTACATAGTGGGATGAATTGAGATCTTATCTGCAATCGATCATACAGAATGTAATACAAATGCTCTGGACATCAGCAAGTTGTGACAGTTAGGAGGTGGCTGTTTTTGCCCCCTTTCTAATGGCAATCATTAATCTCAGAGTTGTCCCAGGTGGGGTAACCAACAAGATGATCTAACAAATAATGATCTGAACACCCAACCATGTTCACCTCAGTAACATAAGCCATTCTGTCTACAGTGTTCTCATCTCTTAGAAATTTGCTTTGCTCCTCCAAATACTTTTGTTGTCAGATGTGAATTAGAAATGCTTCTTCTTATGTCTGTGTTAGTAAATATTTCAGCAGCAAGTATGTAAGCAGTAAGGCTTGACCACTGTTTCAGTGGATGCCAGAGATTCTCTTCAGTTTGATGTGTTTCAAAAATGAATTTACATGGGCTGGAGTGATAGCACAGCGGATAGGGCATTTGCCTTGCACATGGCCAACCAGGGTTCAATTCCCAGCATTCCATAAGGTCCCCCAGCACTATCAGGAGTAATTCCTAAGTGCAGATCCAGGAGTAACTCCTATACATTACTGAGTGTGACCCAAAAAAGAAAAAAAAAGTGGATTTACAGAGTAGACTAGAAGGACAAAATGGAAACAGAGAGAACAATTAGGAGATACTGAGGCATGGGTGATGCTGAAAGCTGTGCCTTAGTGACCATCTTAAAAGTGAGATAAGTGAACAGATTTGTAGACAGAGGCAAGAGAATTGCTGAGAAACTGGATTTGGAAGGGAAGAGAAAGAAAAATATGAAGGATAGTACCACCGTATTAGTCTAAGATGCTGAGTAATAGTGACTATATCTCTGAATGACAAAATGCACTTGATAATGGTGTCAGTAATGTCCTGAGACAGGGTGGATGGACTTAAGAATGATATCTGGTGGAGGGATGGGTATCTGATCATTGTATAATTGAAACCAAAGCACAAAAAATTGTAAATTTACAACTGTAAAAAAAATAAAATAAAATAAAGGGAAAAAAAAGAATGATATCTATAGCCTCTCAGTATCTATATTGCAAACCATAATGCCCAAAAGTAGAGAGACAGTAAGGGGGAAATTGTCTGCCATAGAGGCAGGTGGAAGGTTGGGATAGCGATGAGGGGGGATATTGGGGATATTGGTGGTGGAAAATGTTCACTGGTGGAGGGATGGATGTTCGATCATTATGTGACTGAACATGAAAGTTTTGTAACTGTATCTCACCGTGATTCAATCAAAAATAAAAGGTATCTAGACCGGAATGATAATACATCAGGTAGGGCATTTGCCTTGCATGCGGCTAAGCCGGGTTCAATCCCCGGCATCCCATATGGTCCCCCGAGCAATGCCAGGAGTGATTCTTGAGTTCAGAGTCAGCAATTGTTCGGGACGGGTTGAATCTCCAACTGGGATGTCATTCAGATCTTATGTTACTTCCTACTGGGTCTCCTGAGAAGAGCTATAAGAACAGCTCACATTTTCTTCTTAAATCATTATCTTTCCTGCTTGGTGAAATAATTAATTACAAAAGGTCAGAAGGAAAAAACAGTTCAAGGGATCCCCAAAACTACTTGTGGTTCCCCAGATTCCCTAAGAAGAACATCGGGCCCACAGTGCTCCCACAGACTTCTGATGAGAGCAGTGAGCACTCCGGGAAAGCCACCTAGTGGACAAAGAGAAGGACACCAGCAATGGAAACTTGGAAACCATCCTAACCCTGTGGTTATTGTTTCCGCAGGAATTGGAAACAAAGGTCCTGGATATCCAGAACTGAGACTTGTCTTACTGGGTAAGACCGGAGCAGGAAAAAGTGCAACAGGAAACAGCATCCTGGGAAGGACTGTGTTTCATTCAAGTACTTCAGCAAAATCCATCACCAAGTCCTGCGAAAAAGGGAGCCTGAATTGGAAGGAGAGAAAAATTGTTGTTGTGGATACTCCTGGCATTTTCGATACTGAGGTACCTGATGCCATCACCAAGAAGGAGATTGCTCGCTGCCTCCTGCTGACTTCCCCAGGTCCTCATGCTCTGATCCTGGTGGTCCCACTGAAATGTTACACCAAAGAGGAGCAGATGGCCACAGAGAAGATCCTGGAAATGTTTGATGATAGAGCTCTGAGACACATGATTCTCTTATTCACCTGGAAAGATGAGTTGGGTAACCTAGATTTCTCAGAGTACTTAGAGAACGCTCCAGTCCTTCAAGAACTGATAGCTAAACTGGGCAATGGCTATTGTCTGTTCAACAACAGGGCAACAGGAGCTGAGCAGGAGGCCCAGAGGGCACAGTTGGTCACTCTGGTTGAGCAGGTGATGACAGAGAATAAGGGAACATGCTACACTAATAAGTATTATCAATTGGTTGAGCGGGAAATTCAAAAACAAACCCACATGATACAAGAACATTACAGAGAAGAACTGGAGAAAGAGAAAGCCCAGATAAGAGAGGAGTATAGAAAGAAAATGAGAAATCTGGAGGATAATCTAGAAAAGCAAGCGAGCTGGGAGAAAATGGAGGTAGCTTTGGTAGAAAGGGAGTCTGTGTATGCTATGAAGCAAGAAAATGCTAGAGAACAAGTGGAGAAAAATACGTATAAGATCATTGAATTCCTCACAGAGTTACTTAAACTAACTTCCTTAGTTCTTACACAAGTGTTTAAAGACAAAACAAAATGAAAATCTGTCTCTGTTTCTTGCACATTCCCTGACTGCCTGCTCCATATGACTCACTCGCTCAAAGGCAGTGCACTCTCTTTTTACTGATGATCTTAGGACTACGGAGTCAACCAGTTGACTGTGGGCACTTGGCAAGAGACCAATGTATGAGGCAGGGGGCAGACATATTCTAGATTTGTATTCATCATCTCCACCTTGTGACTTCTTTCTCCGAAACGTAGAGAAAGACCATGTAGAGAGCCAACCAAGGTGACCCAGGATTTGTCTTTTTAACACTTATAAAATTTCTCCTTTAGACACTTATTCCACCACCCCCAGTCTTGCCCTTATTTGCTTTTGCCTTTGGCACCTCAGTGATGACCTTCCCAAATGGATCTTTGAAATGATGACGTCTCTGAATTAGGTGATCTTAGAAATGGAGATGTTCCTACTGTAGATGAATTCACTGTAGATGACCGTAGGTTTATTTTATTCACAGTTGTAGAACTTCTCCAATTGTTCCTTATTATTACCCATTCTAAACAAAGATCTTTCTAGAAAGTGACCTCTCAAAACACTTCTAAACTCAAATGCCAGGAAAAGTAAATGTGACTGGAGGAAAGAGACAGGGGGAGGGGTGAGGTCAATAGCAAGAGAGCAGTGCAGAAGTTTATTATGTGTATTCTGTAGAAACTTGGTGACTAACCTCTACATTATCAATTTGCTTAATAGCTTGCAGTCTCTTTTGGATGTGATTCTGTTACCACCCCACCTCCAGCACCCCACACCCTGGTTATTACTGCTTGAGCATTTATCTGTACACTATTGCCAGACTTAACTGAATTTCTTTATTGTTATAATAAACTTTTCTGTTCTCTCATATTGCAAGACTGGAAGCTGTGTGATTATTTCAGGTTTTTGGAAAATGACACTACTTGTTCTTAGGTCATATATATATGCCTTACTTTTTCACTGTAGATGTGAAAATTTACTTTTCCGGGTAACGTTTAAGAAAATTTTAGAGCTAGCTAAGGGATATCTTTCATAATATCTCTCTTTCCTCTCCTGGAAGGTTTGAGCCACATTGTCAGCCCTTGTGCCAGATGAAAAAACTTGGATTACTTCATTAGGAGCTGATATAAATTATGTTTAAGTCATGTTTAAATTATTTTTACTGATATAGGTCAATAACCAAGGTTTCTGAAACCTTTGTGGATTTCCTTGTACACAAATCCCATATATACATATATAAGCATTGATTTTGTTTTCTCATTTCTACTGGTACTCCATGTCCAGAAATTTCTAAGACTTCCCAAACTACACTTTCAAGTCCTTCCAAAGGTTTGGTGATCACATGTCACTTGGGTCAATTCATTTTGCTCTGCCATCTTGAAAGTGACTCCCCCATCACCACAACATTTTACCCCCAAATGTAGCATTACTACTTCCTTATTTCCCCAAAATACAATGACTCTATGCTAATAAGAGTTAACAAACTCTGAGTCTCATGGTAGACCCAGGTTTGATTCTTGGCACCACAGAAGGTTCTACTCGTCCCCATCGAAAGTGATCCCTGAGAGCTAGAAGTAAGCCTTGAGCACAGCTGAGTGTGGCTCAAAAAACAAAGAAAAACAAGAATTAACAAAGTCTTAAGTGTAAGAGAAGCATCATACAAAGAGCATACACTTTCTTTAGATATAGGGACTCAGAGTAAAATGGATTTATGTCTACCTACTTTGTGTCTCTTATTTTCATAATAGCAATAGTGGCCAAATTACTGAAATGGACTTAACGTCCTATTGCATTACAACCCTTAACAAATATTTAACCAGAGACACATATTTTTTAAGAAACATAAATGCATATTTAATATAAATAAAATAAGTATTTAACTGTGATGGTTATTTCTGCATAAATCTATTTAATTACTCTTTCTCATGTCTTCCGGTTAAAGTTGTAGATAAAACTGTGAAAATATCTGCTAATTTCCTAGCTTTTTTATTAAGACACTATGATTTACAAAAGTTGTTCATCATAGAATTTCAGTCCTACAATGTCTCACCACTGGTTCCCACCACCAGTGCCAACCCCTGTCCACTAATTCCCACCCCAGGTTTCCTCCCGTCCCCCAGTGTGCCTCCTTACCAGGCACATTTTAAGTTTGGCTGTTGTAGTTTGAGTCTCATGCTTACAGAGTCGTTGGTTCTGTGGTTTAAGTATATGTAAATATATCCCACCTCAGACCAATGTGCCTGAGACCCCACCTCTGCCCTTGTTACTTGCCGTCTTTCTCTTCTTCACTCCCCACTGATTTCTTTTCTCCCTGTCCTCATTCTATATCTAGGGTTCAGGGTAATCTAGGTATTCCCCCTTTGATACCTTGTATTCTCTTGTCTGTTTTATATAACACAGATAAGTGAAATCAGTTGATATTTGCCCTTCTTCTAATTTACTTCACTAAACGTGAGGTTTTCCAGTTCTGTTTTAGTGGCAGCAAAATGCATATTTCATCCTTCTTTGTGGCGAATAGTATTCCAGTGTTTACATTTACCACACTTTGACTATGACTCCTCTGTCATAGGACACCTAGGTTGATTGCAAATCCCAGTTATCATACTAAATGCTGTAATGAATAATAGTCATTTTAGATGAATATGCTTGTGCCTTGAGGGTAGACACCAAGAATCTAGGTGCCGAGTGGGGTGGCAAAGTATTCCTACTTTGCCTAGGAATCTTCATGCTGTTTTCCACAGGGCAACATTCCCACAGCAGTGGGTGAGAATCCCTTTTTCATCACAACAGAGGTTGCCTCCAGGTAGTTTTTTGGTTTAGTTTGTTTAGGGTTGGGTTTTTCATCTGTGCCATTGTCACTAATATGATATGAACATCTCAAAAATCTCTGCTCTTGAGAAGCAGGAAGAGAAGACCAGGCCACGTGAGAGAGTCAATGACCAATGTTGCCCTTTCACTTGCAGGGCTGACAGTTCCGTGGCAAATGCACACACTGTGGTTGAAAACATAAAACAGAAGTCCCTGACGTGGCCTTTTTGTTCTTGACTTTTGGTTGTTTGGTTGTTTGGCTAGTTAGTTGAAGACTCCTGGGCAGTGCTTAGGAGCTTCAGGGGCCAGTCTCAGAAATAGTCAGCTAACAAGGCTGGCAGTCAATGTTAGGGCCCAAGGATGTCATTTCACTCCAGGCTCTGTGGGGCCAGGAATTACCTAGCCAGACCTAGCTGTACTTGGAGGTCTCAAGGCCTGGTAATGCATGGGAGCCTTCTGATGCTGGAGATTGAACCCAGATGGGATGGATTATTGGCAAGTACCCTAACTACTTGCTATCTCTTATCCAGCACCTAAATTACTTGGCCTACTGGCCTTTTTTCAGAAAAAAAAAATTACTCCATGCTCCTATGAAAATATATCTTCTTTTAGTGAACTAAAAGAAAGTTCTAGACTCATAAATAAATCTCAGAAGAGATCAACAACTGCAGAGATTCCCTGTGCCAGACTGGGTCTTATCTGGGGCACCTAGAAGGGGTGCAAGTTAGCCAACCACCCACCCAAACAGAGCCCCAGAAGCCAAAACCCTCCATAACCCAATAGCTGCCATGCTCACAGCTGAACTCCACAGTCTCCGGATGAACCTCATGCAGGTATGAATCTGTTAAAAAAAAAAAAAACTCAGGTATGTAGGTTTTGTGACAGAAATCTCCAGGCTCTCATGGAGTCAGGGAGAGGTCACCTCCCCCCATCTCCCTGTTCTTCCAGGAGACTGGCAGACATTGAACTGTCTCTGGTGCCTCTGATGCCATATAAGGCCATTATCCAGAGATTCATAAATAAATCTCAAAAGAGACCAACAAGCTGCAGCGACACTTCTGGACCCCAAAGTCACCATCCAGTTAAAAATTTAAGTCTAGCTGTATCATCACATTCAAAAGTTTAGAATTCCTGGAGCATGTAGCTATACTTGCAGACGCGCAGCATCTCATACTCTGTAGCATTCCAGGAGTCGCACACCACATTGGATGGGATGTAAAGTAGAAGACAACCAATCTCAATTAAGATAATATTAGCCCACAAGCCCAACCTGTAACAAGATGTTAGTATTCTCTTATACAAGGGCTTAATGACTCCAAGGGGAGATATCACAATCATTACACACTTTCTTCTGAGAAAATCTTTTTTATAGTTTTAGCAAATTATTCATAACAAACAATACAAAATAAATTATTTAGGGCCTTTATTGGGGCGGGCTTGGGTGGTGTTTGGGAAAATTGGAAATGATGGTGGTGGAAAGGTGGTGGGATTGGTACTGGAATATTGAATGCAATAAGTCATCGTGAAAAACTTTATAAAATTGAATTAATTTTTTTTAAAACCTGCATCAGCCACATGTGAAGCAAGCATCTTATCCCCTATACTATCTCTCCAGTCCCCTAACAAGTTTTCTTACCTTGATATAGCTCCTAACCGATTGCGCTACTGGAGCTCCAGCTGGAGCGATAGCACAGCGGTAGGGCGTTTGCCTTGCACGCAGCCAACATAGCCGACTCGAGCTCGATTCCTCCACCCCTCTCGGAGAGCCCAGCAAGCTACCGAGACTATCTCGCCCCCACGGCAGAGCCTGGCAAGCTACCCATGACATACTCGGTATGCCAAACACAGTAACAACAAGTCTCATGATGGAGATGTTACTGGGCCCGCTCGAGCAAATCGAGGAACAACGGGAGGACCGTGACCGTGATATAGCTCCTGTTAAGGAGGTCCCATAAAGTCTTATTTTTAAAGTATTATATTTAGACAAGCTGTTATCAAATAATGAACCCATTTCAATAATTTTAAGGTATGATTTTACAGTAGCAGTGATCATAACTTACTCATGGCTCTGCACTCAGGGATCACTCTGGTCACGGTCAGGGACCATATAGGGTGTCAGGAATTGAACCCAAGTAAGAAATGTACAAGACAAATGCAAAAAAAAAAAGAAGAAGAAGAAGTTTCACCCAATTGCACTCAAGGCTACAGCTGTACCTCTGCTTCCCACCCCCACATATCATTCCACATCCCCTGGGGACTGTCTCACCAACTTTGAAACACTGCCATAAAAGGAGGTATGTTTCCTCTCTCAAGTTTTGGTAACTCATATTTATTAACCCATTCATTAAAGATTCATTGACTACATTTCTTTCTAGCAGATTTTATTCAAAATACTAAGATTCTAGAGATAATTCCATGACATCCCTTTTCACTTCTCAAAAAACTAAAAATTAAGTTTCCATATGACTTAACCCAAAAGTTCTATTCAGAAACCTATTCAGAAAAGACATCTGCACTTGTTCATTGTAGCACTATTCGCAATAGCCAAAATATAGAAACACCTAAAGTGCCCAATAACAGATGGTTGTATAAAGAAACTGTGATGTGTATATACACAGCTGTATATATGTGTATATACACAGTGTATATATCACTCCACTATAAGAAAATATAAAATCACGCAATTTACTGCTAAATGAATTGATCTGGGGTGAAGTGAGTCAGAAGAAGAGAGAATGCCCTCTCTCAGATGTGAGATATAAAGAAACTAACATAGTAAGCGAATTACAAAGGGCCTGAGAACAGAAAAAACAGAGCCTGAGAACTGGTATACAGAACTGATATTTCAGGGAGTATAGCTATGGGGGAAGGAGCTACTGTGGTGGAGAGTGTGGTGTTGAAATATTGTAAACTTGAAATTCTATCAATAACAGTAGTCTAAAATGAAAATAAGGGCCTGGAGCGATAGCAAGCGGGTAGGGCGTTTGCCTTGCACGCGGCCCAACCCGGGTTCAATTCCCAGCATCCCATATGGTTCCCCGAGCACGGCCAGGAGTAATTCCTAAAGGCATGAACCAGGAGTAACCCCTGTGCATCGCTGGTTGTGACCCAAAAAGCAAATAAATAAATAAATAAAAATAATAGTAGCAATAATAATAAAATAAAATAAGTCCCTTTGAGACTGGCTTCTTTCACTTAGCACAGTGATTTTGAGAATAAACCAAGTTGTACGTAACAGCATTTTGTTTCCTCTTATTTCTTGTTTTATCTTACAGGTGGACAAAGTTTTTCCACTTCTTTCCTTATTCTAATACCACTAAATGATTTCTCTTGTCTAATTGCATTGGCTTAAGTCCATATTATAATACGGAGTAGTGGATATCCATGCTTGCATTGTTCCTGGATATGCTTTCTGTGGTCCCCGTTTAAGTAAGATACTGACCACAGCAGTATATAACACATCTGTGCTGGTGTGTGACAAGCTAAACAACTCTCCCCCAATTACTCATTTCTTCAATTTTTATTATGAATAACCATTAAGCTTTGTTAAGTATTTTAGTTGTTGTTTTTGGGCCACACCTGGCTGTATTTAGAGCTTACTCCTGCCTCTGTGTTCAGAGATCACTCCTGGAAGTTTTGGGTGACCAAATGGAATATCAGGGATCAAATTTGGGTCAACCGCATGCAAGGTAAGCACCTTACCCACTATGCTATGTCTCTGACTCCTAAAGATTTATTTGTAATTACCTTGGAAATAATCCTTTTGATTATTGTTTTACTTTAAGTCAGTTTAAGATGAATGATACACATTGATATACAAAAGTTGAACAAGGTTTTTCATTCTTTTTAAAATTACATTTATATGGCCTTCGCAATAGTTCAGTTGGTAAGGTGCTTGCCTTGCACAAGGCTGACCTGAATTCGAGCCCCAACATTCATATGGTCCACTGAACCCTGAGCACAGATCCAGGAGTAAGCACTGAGCACTGTCAGATGTGCCCCCAATTCATATATATGTATATAGGATATATATACATATATTATATATAATATCTAATTTCCTGGGGCAGGAATATTGCTCAGTGGTGGACTGTGTATGAAGTCCTGGGTTTGATTCCTGGCACCGCAGGGTATGCCCAAGTATCATCAGTAAGAGTATTTTAAAACAGAAAATAATAAAAGTAAATTCATACATTCTACTGATTTGTCAGATTTTAATGTGATATTGGAGTAATTTGCTAATATTACATTAGCATTTTATTGATATTCAAGATATATCTATTGATCGAATGTTTTATTTTTTGCTGTTTTTATAAGACTCTGGTATCAATATTACACTTGTAAAAAAATCATTAGGGAACATGCCTTATTTCAATGCTCGAGAATACTTCTAAAATAGTAAGACTATTATAGCCGTCACTCCAATCCTCCCCTTCACTGTGGATGGATCTCCTGACACTAGTTTGTGGAGAAAGCTAAAATCCTAGACTCTGACATCTCTATTCTACCTGTCTCTTAACTCTCCCTCAACTGTCACGTCTCAGAAGTCCTGCTTGTCTTATACAAGGATATCCAGGAACCTTTGTAGCACAGAGATAATTTCTCAGGCAAGGCTTTTGGGATGCTCCAGCTAACTTACTCCACTTCAGCTCCTGCTGGTCTGAATTCACTACGGCAGGTCAGGCAGTGACGCTTTCTCAGCTTAGAAGGTCAACAGAAGCATATGTTTGGCCACAGGAAACAGATTCCTTATCAAAAGGCAAAACAAAACATGGTTTGATTTTTTTTAAATAATAATGTAGGAGAACTGCGATTTGTTCAGCAATTGATTAAGCTGATTGGACATGATCTCCACATTACTTTTTATTTATTTTTTAAATGCATCACCGTGAGACAGTCACAAAGCTTTCATGTTTGAGATTCAGCCATACAATGTCGGGAAACCCATCCATCCACCAGTGCACATTTTCCACCACCCACATCCCACTCCTCACCCTGCCTCTGTGGCAGACAATTTCCCCAATACTCTCTCTCTAGTTCTGGGCATTATGTTTTGCTCAAAATTTCCCACCACCATTCAAGACTACCTGCCAGGGGCAGATGCTAGATAATTTATTTTCCACTGCTCATTTTGAATATCATGAGAGCTCACACAGCCAAGATTGCAAATGTAAATTTCTAGATTGTAAACAGTTGGGTTTCAGAGACATTTCTGTATGGCACTAATCCACTTTGGGATTCAATTGGGAATCTCTGGGCTAGGGTTGTTGAGTCCTGGAGCCCACATACGGAGTTGGGGGTTGGGGAGGGCTTCCTTGTGGAAGCTCTTGATCATTAGGATTCCATCTGGAGTAGGAAGGGAGACTGCATCTGCTCCATCTGGGGTGCCCCGGTGGTATTGGCTCAGTATGGGGTCCAGAGAGATCTCTGGAACTGTGGTGTCTTCCGGGACTCGTTGCTGTGTCTCTGAATCAGAGCTGTTGATGTGCTAAGATCCACATTACAAAATTTTCAGCAGATTATATCTTGGTGAGGTTCATCCTGAGATGGTAGAGTTGGGCTAGAGGTATGACAGCAATTTTGGATTGTTGGAATCAAGTGGCTGCTGGGTGCTCTGCTTGGGCAGGCACGGGTCAACCTGCCCCCCTCCAATTTACCCCTTCTGTTCATCCATGCGTGGGTCCGAGCTTTTCTGCAGCTTTTGATCTCTTTCGAGATTTATTTACAGGTCTCTGAAGCAAGCCCGGCTATAGAATTTACAGGGTAGTGCTGGAGTTGGTTCGTGGAAGTGACTGCCAATGCTTCCATGTGTATTGGGAAGTGTGGGGAGGTA